TCTCTGTGCCCCTGGGCCGCGGTGCCAGCCCCCCCTGGCTCCCCAGGCGTTCTGCCCGTGTGCCACCCGCTCTTCGCCCTGGCCACGGAGGACCTGAGCTGCTGGTTCCCCCCGAACCACCTGTTCACCGTGGATGAATCCCGCAGCCAGGTCGTGGTGTACAGGATCAGGTACGGCCCCGGTGGATTTTGGGGCCGCGCTCCCGGGGGGGAGCAGCGCCGGGACCCCTCCGCTGTCCCCGCCAGGTTCTTCTTCCCCAACTGGTGCGGGCAGGGACAGTGCCACCGCTTCCAGCTGCTGAACGACCGGGCCAGCCCTGTCCTGGACTACCCTGTCATTGATTACCTGTTCGCCCAGGTGAGCGCTGCCAGCCGGCCTCCTCCTCCTGCTCCTGTTCCTCTTCTTCCTCCTCTTCTTCTTCCTCTTCCTCCTCCTCTTTCTCCTCCTCTTCTACCTCCTCCTGGTCCTCCTCTTCCTCCTCTTCCTCCTCCTCCTCTTCTTCCTCCTCCTGTTATTCCTTCTCTTCCTCCTCGTCCTCCTCCTCCTCCTCCTCCCCCCAGGGGCACCCCGAGTCGCCGGCATGGGGTCACCCTGTCCCCTTGGGGGGGACAGCGGATCAGATCCCGGGCAGGACCCCCCCATCGTCTTGGGGACACCAGGGTGACACTCCCGAGGGTCTCACAGACACAAGGGTGACATTCCCGGGGGTTTCAGGGACACGAGGGTGACACTCTCGGGGGTTTCAGGGACACGAGGGTGACATTCCCGGGGGTCTCACAGACACGAGGGTGACACTCCCGGGGTTTCAGGGACACCAGGGTGACACTCCCAAGGGTCTCAGGGACACGAGGGTGACACTCTCAGGGTCTCGGGGACACGAGGGTGACACTCTCGGGGTTTCAGGGACACGAGGGTGACACTCCCGGGGGTTTCAGGGACACCAGGGTGACATTCCCGGGGGTCTCAGGGACACCAGGGTGACACTCCCGGGGGTCTCACGGACACCAGGGTGACACTCCCGGGGTCTCAGGGACACCAGGGTGACATTCCCGAGGGTCTAGGGGACACGAGGGTGACACTCTCGGGGGTCTTGGGGACACGAGGGTGACACTCCCGGGGGTCTCACGGACACCAGGGTGACATTCCCGAGGGTCTCAGGGACACCAGGGTGACACTCCCGGGGGTCTCAGGGACACCAGGGTGACATTCCCGGGGGTTTCAGGGACACGAGGGTGACACTCCCGGGGGTCTCACAGACACGAGGGTGACACTCCTGGGGGTCTCAGGGACACGAGGGTGACACTCCCGGGGGTCTCAGGGACACGAGGGTGACACTCCCGGGGGTCTCGGGGGACGGGAGAGCCCCCCCGAGCCTCGTGTCCCCCCAGTCCCGCAGCGATTTCATCGGGGGCCGCGTGGCCGTGGGGCTGAGCCTGCCCTCGCAGGAGCAGTGCCTGGGGCTGGCCGTGCTGGACATGCTGCGCATCGCCAAGGAGCGGCGGCAGAGCCCCGAGCAGCTCTGCAGCCACCTCAGGTGAGACGGGACCGAGTGGCCCTCGGGGAACAGCCCGGCATGGCTGGGGACAGCCTGGAACCCATGGGGACAGCCTGGAACCCCTGGGGACAGC